TCAAACAAAGTAAATATGATTGAAAAGAATCCAATCTCCTTCAGGTTAGCCTCTTCATCTCATCTTGTAAATTCTCTAACTTCTTCCACTAATTGGTATTTGGATTCCGAAGCAAATATCCACGTCTGTAATGATCACTCTTGGTTTTTAAATTATCAGGAATCACGTGGAGGAATCATAAGCTTAGCAGATGACTCCACTAAACCAATAATAGGAAGTTGACGTGTAGAGTTCACCATGACTTCTAGGAAAGCTCTGCATCTGCAAGGCGTTTATCATGTTCTTTCTCTCCATCGCAATCTGATTAGTGAATCTCTTTTTCTTAGAGCTGGTTATAGGATTATAAAAGAATCCAACAAATTTGTGATTACAAAGAGTAATGTTTTCATAGGAAAATATTTTATCTGTAATGGCCTTTTCAAACTCAATGTAATCAATTCCAGTTCTAATGAAATTCCTGAGCTTTCTGTTGCACAAATTATTGAGTCTTGTGTGATGTTTGGCATGGACGACTTGAACATGTCAATTTCCAAATCTTGCAGAGAATGAGTAAATTAAACCTTATTCCCAAATTTTCTCATGATCCCTCATCTAAGCGTGAAATCTGTGTTTAAGGGAAACACACTAAAAAACCCTTCAAGTCTATAACTAGAAACTCCGAACCCCTCGAATTAATTCATAGTGATGCGTGTGACTCAAACCGAGTTCTCACCCGAGGGGGTAGGAGGTATTTTGTGACTTTTATAGACGATCACTCCAGATATTGTTACACCTATCTTCTCAAAACTAAAGATGAAGTCTTAGATAGGTTTAAGATGTACAAAGCTGAATCTGAGAACCAACTTGACAGGAAGATCAAGATACTTAGATATGATCGGGGGGGGGGGGGGGTATACCTCAAATCATATGACTGAATATTACCAAGAACACAGTATTATTCATGAGGTTACTGCTCTCTATACACCACAGTCTAACGTGGTAGCTGAATGAAAGAATAGAACCCTAATGGACATGGTAAACTGCATGTTACTCAGTTCAGGAGCACCTAAAAATCTCTGGGGTGAAGCTCTACTTTCTGCTTGCTTCATTCTCAATAGGATTCCCCAAAAAAATCTGATACAACTCCTTATGAATATTGGAAGGGAAAATCTCCTAATTTGAACTTCTTCCGGGTTTGGGGTTGCTTGGCTAAAGTAGCTACTCCCGAACCTAAGAAGAGAAAAATTGGTTCTAAGACTGTAAATGTTGCTTTTATTGGATATGCACTAGATAACAATGTTAACAGATTTCTAGTCATCAACTTTGAAATCAGTGACATATCCAACAATATCATCATTGAAGCAAGAGATGCAGTCTACTTTGAAAACATCTTTCCTTTCAAATCTAAAATCTCAGAAAATCCCAAATCATCTCTTCCTTCTGATCAACCATCTTCCAGTTTTTCTCAACCTCTTGATATTGAAGCTCGAAGAAGCAAAAGAGGTAGAATCGAAAAGGATTTTGGAGAAGACTTCCTAACCTTTCTTATTGAAGGTGACCCAAGCTCATTCCAAGAAGCAATGGATTCACCTGAATCTTCTTTCTGAAAAGAAGTCATTGATAATAAAACTAAATCTATCATGAAAAATCACACTTGGATACTCACCGAATTACCTCCAGGTTGTAAACCAATTGGTTGTAAGTGGATATTCAAGAAGAAACTCAGAGTTGATGATTCCATAGATAAATTTAAAGCTAGATTGGTAGCTAAAGGCTATACTCAACAAAAGGGTATTGATTATTTTGATACCTACTCTCCTGTAGCATGAATCTCTACTATCCGAGTATTATTAACCTTTGCTGCTATCCATAAGCTGATTATACATCAGATGGATGTAAAGACTATTTTCCTAAATGGTGATTTAGATGAAGAAATCTATATACACCAACCTGAAGGCTTCATTGCCAAGGATCAGGAGAATAAAGTCTGTAAGCTTGTTAAATCTTTGTATGGTCTTAAATAAGCTCCTAAACAATGACACCAGAAATTTGACAATGTCATTGCATAATATGGCTTCACTGTGAATGAACACGACAAATGTGTCTATTCTAAAGTGATAAACAATGACTTTGTCATTCTCTGTCTCTATGTTGATGATATCCTTATCTTTGGAACAACACTTGAATTAATTTCAAAGGTTAAGGATTATCTTTCCAAAAACTTTGATATGAAAGACTTAGGTCTTGCTGACATAATACTTGGAATGAAAATCTTTAGAGACACTAGAGGAATATCTTTGAGTCTTTCCCATAGCATTGAGAAAATGCTAATCAAATTCAACTTTCATAACTCTAAACATGTTTCCACAACTTATGATTCTTCTATATCCTTGAAGAAGAATGAAGGTGAACATATCTCCCAGCTGAAGTATTCTCAGCTGATTGGATCTCTTCTTTACATATCCAATCGGACCAGACCCGATATAGCTTATGTTGTAGGAAGACTGAGCTGGTATACTAGCAACCCTAGCAAAGATCATTGGACTGCCTTAGAAAGAGTATTCAAATATCTGAAATACACAATTGACTATCGCTTGACTTACACTGGTTACCTGATGCTATAGAAGGGTATAGTGACGCCAACTGGGTCACGGATTCCAACAGTGTAAAGTCAACATCTGGATATGTATTTCTTTTTGATGGTGCAGCTGTATCCTGGAAATCTTGTAAGCAAACTGTAATTGCCAGGAGCACCATGGAGTCTGAATTGATTACTCTTGTTACTACTTGCACAGAAGTCGAATGGTTAAAAGATCTTCTCTCTGAACTTCCTTTGGTCTCTAAACGCTCTCCTCCTATTTCCATCCACTCTGATTCTAGATCTACCATAGAGCTTCTAAAGCAAGTATATGTAAATAAAAAACATAACATACAATCAAATAAGATATAAGTCTGTACAACACCTGTTAGGTAAAGTTGTGATCTTGGACTTTGTAAAGTCTGAGAAAAATATTGCTGACCCTTTGACTAAGGGATTATCCAGGAGTGTGATTCTGGATTCATCGAGAGAGATGGGGTTAAGCCTATAAATGAGGTCACTGACAGCGACAACTCAACTCTTATTTGGAGACGTAGTCCCAATGTTGGTTCAATGTGGTAGAAACAAGATGGACAAGTGACTCTCATGTGCAGCATTGACCTAGATATATTTATATATCATTATGTAGCATTTGCTACTACCCCTTCTCTATGATGACGATGCTCTTATGATATAGCTGGCTAGGCTGAGTTTTACTCTTAATAAGTCCAACATGTGTATTGTGGGGGGTATTAAATAAACAACTGTAGTACCCTTTGAGGACTTACCTACGTGAGAGGAACCGTGATGGCCGCGGTGGGGGGGCATGGCTGACCCCTAGAAACTCTCATGAGTCGGTTTTTTGTGAGCATGACCTTTAACGCTCAACCCGCTTAGCTCAATAGATGAAAACATATTGTGTGTGTTTTTATCAATACCTGATTCAAGTGGTCTAATTCAAGGCCTAGTCCATTATGTCCCTCATGTGGCGATGAACTCACTAAGGAAAGGTTCAAAGCCGAAAGCCACCTCTCCCGAATTCACGATACGAAAGGTTGCCCAACCTATATTTATTTTGTGATTTATTAATTTATTTATTATTTTTTAAGTTTTAAGTCAATATTGCCATTTGGGAGGGACTGTTGGATGTTTTGTTCATGAAAAGGTAATTTTGCATTTGTGGATAGTCCCACATTGGAAAAGGAGATGAATAGTATAGGGTATATAATGGTTCTCTCCTTATTGGGCTTTGAATAGTATTTTGGGTTTTGTGGGCTTTACATATCTATCACACACGCGCGCGCGCACGCACGCCTCGCTCGCACGCGCGCGCCACGCCGCACACATTTTTTTCTTCTCAAGCTTTTATTTTGCACGTTTTACACGTTTTGTAACCACTGCATGCGGGTAACGGAAGCGAGATTTGTGCGTAACGGTTCATTTGATTCAGCAGGGGGTTACACTTCTCCTCACCTATATAAGCAGCCGTAGACCTCATTCAGAGACACAACAACGAGAAGAACAACTTCCAAAGCTATCTTTCTCCACTCTCTTTTCTTCCAAGTTATTTCGGCTACACTTTTACATTTATATTTTTGGGCAACCGTTTTCATCTGAGCATAAATACCTATATCGATGTTATTTACTCTTCCTCGTAGCAGAAATACTCTTCCCACATTATTTTGCTACATAATATTGTTAAGGGGGAAACAAACGTAAACTGCTAAGATTCCAATTCGTCCTTTGGGAAGTAGGTAAACTCTTACTGGGCTCTATTATTTACACAGCCCATTTAAAATTATTTTTGTAATACATGGCCCATTTCAGCAATTTGATATTTCTTCCCCTGCATTATTCGCTCTCTTCCATAAATTCGCCCGTTTGCCTCTCGCTCGCTCGCTCGCTGTTTCAAATCGCCAGGGAGGGAGAGAGAGAGAGGGAGAGAGAGAGAGGAGCAAACCCCTAGAAATTAACCCCAAATAGAAGAAGGTATCTTGGTTCATATCGATTCAGTTTCTCTCCTTAATCAATCTAGGGTTTCTGCAGTTTGATCATTTATTACTGAAGCATGAATTCTCTGTTGACATTTTCCTCTCTCTTTCGAGTCTTGGATTTTGAGAGATTTAGGTTTTAAAAGGATTGATGTATAGAAAATTTTGAAAGACTTAATTTTGAACCTAGGGTTTTTTTTTTTTTAAAGGTAAGTTCTTTCATCTAGCTTTAATTGCTCTTGGTTTTATCTAGGGTTTTTGCACAGTTGGTACATTTTGTTACTGAAAGCAAGAATTTTTATTGAATGCAACTCAATTGATAAGGTTTCTCACCTTTTCCTCCCTCTTTCGAGGCTAGGGTTTTGAAAAAAAAATAGGGATTCAAAAGGATTTGTTTATAGAAGGTTGAGAAAATTGATTTTGAATGTACTGTTTTTTAAATGGTCCTGGTTCATTAGCGGAAAAGACAAGTTCAATTGGTTTTGAAAAATATCTGTAAACTAATTGTAAATTGTATCTTAACAGTGATTCAAAATAATAAGCTAGATCTTTCGGTCACATATTTCACCATGGAGAAGGCAACTGTGAATTTTTTGGTGGGCAAGGTGAAGCAAAGGGTGGTGCTGGTCGAAGCGGACAGCAACTTTGTTGACATACTCTTCAGCTTGTGCGATTTTCCATTGGGAACCATTGTCAGACTCCTCAACAAACAATCTTATAGTGGATGCCTGAACAAATTGTATGAGAGCATTGAGAATCTTAATGTGCAAAATTTCCAGGCTAAGGCATGCAAGATCATGCTTCTCTTCCCTCAAAGCGCTGCAGCTGAGCGGGGTGAAGATCTAAAAGTAAATATTGATAGCACAGAACCTAAGCCGATGGCTGTATATGTTTGTGCAAAGCGTGGTTTTCATGCCAAGCCCACATGCTTCGGTCGCTCTGTTCCGAACGTGCGATGTCCTCACTGTCGAGAATTAACTGTGAATTTGATTAGAAGATGGCCCGAATGGGATGTTGATGCTGGTAAACTGTTTGTCAAGAGTGGAGATAAGTTTATGATCAGCGATGACCTGCATTTGACTCTGGCTTCTACGGAGCATAGCCTGTCTTTAATCCAGAAACTGATAATAGAAGATGCATGCGTTCTCTAGCATAAGTCTATGGATCTTGGTAGAGGTGAGGTAATTCCTATGAGCATAAGTTTACAACTCACAGCTATACAAATTCTATCACGAACTCTGTAAATTTATTGAATAAGTTAAAAACTGTAGTAAACTGCTTCATACTCATTTGGACACGTACTTCATTAGGATTTTTTCCTCTTGTGATGAGATACTTGTCAGAATAGTTACTAATGTTTATGAAGATGTCTGTATAATGGTTTGTTACCCTGACAAGATCAAAGATGAAGGGGGAAAAAGGACAATGCTTTATAGTTTTTGAGAAACAAACATAATCTTTTCCCATTGAACTACATAGTGATTCACGCAAGTAGATGATTTGTATCTTTCGTCTTAATGTATACATACTCTACGTATGCGGACAAAAAAGACGAAGTGGGATGGAGATTTCTTTTCCTCTGAACGAGGGAAACTGAATAATTGTTTAGTATAGAAGGAAATGACCATTAGATGAATGCAATAAAATCTTCTAGACAACGATGGTGATCGATTAGAGAGGTGTAGTTTGTCGTATGGTTTAGAATTAAGGGAATAATAGATTAGAGATTCGTGTATGCCATGACCTACATAAGAGCATTTGAACCTGGAGAGGGATTTAGATGGTAACCTTAATTGTCCTTTGGTCGCAATGAACGAAAATTGACTAAAATCATAGGTTATAGACCGTGAAATTATATATTTTATATACTCACAATTAATTTCCATTTGGTGGAAACAAGCACAAGTTGCAAAAGTAGAGGGTATAGACCATGAAAATCATGAATTTTGAACTACGCATACTTAATTATCATTTGGTCAAAATTAACAAAATTTGACAAAAATCATGGGTAAGCACATGAAAATCATAAATTTAAATTTTGAACTACGTGTACTTCATTGTTGTTTAGTCGAAATGAACTGAATTTGACAAAAATCGCAAATTTTGATGTATACGGTACATACTTAATTTCCATTTGGTTGAGAAGAACAAAAATTGCAAAACTATGGACTATAGCCCATGAAGATCATGAATTTTGAATTATACATACTTAGTTGTCATTTGGTCAACAAGAACAAAATTTGACAAAAATCATGGGTTATAGCTTATGAAAATCGCAAATTTTGATGTACACATACTTAATGCATTTCATCAAAATGAACAAAAAATTACAAAATTCTCTGGTTATAGCCATGACAATAATTAAACTTGAATTATACATAGCTAATTATCATTTGGTCAAAATGAATAAAATTTGGCAAGCGTGTAGGTTATGAGCCTTGAATATCACAAATTTTGATATATACATACTTACTTTTCACTCAATCGAAACAAATAAAAATTACAAATATCATGAGTAAATCATGAATTTTGAACTATGCGTACTTAATTGTCATCAGGTCTAACCCAGAGTTAATAGGCCTTAAATAGAGGCTAGGAATCAGTTTTAACCCAGTGGTTTGAACTTTTAGGTATATGCCCTAACTCCTATTTTAAACCCTGGTATTTTTTGTACACTCCTCTCACAAGTTTGGTATTTTTCTAGCTTTGGCGACGTTTTGGCATTTTTTCTGAGCCAAATGTGCAATTCTGCCCACAACTTTGCTGTGGTGAAAAGAAAGGTACGAAAATTCTTTTCTTCTAGCAGTTTTGGCCTCAAGCTTCCTCTTCATTATATTTCAAGGTAATACCATATGCCCTCCCTTTCTTTGTCCCAAAATTTACTTCTTTGTAGTAGATTCAACATTGTTGCATAAGATTCATATAGTTATCATCCTTTTACTAGTATGCCAACTGATCTTTTGATAATTTCCTCATGTTGACTCTAACAACATAGCACGAGGTTTTTGCTGCTTTTTGGCTGACGGCGAAGTTCTGAGTCTAATTGCACATTTTGCTTAAAAAAACCTAAACATCATCGGAGCTAGAAAAAAAATACCAAAATGGTAAAAGAAAAATAGTAATGTCGTAATTTAGCCTTTATTCTATCTGATATAGGACTATACCCACATATGAATCCTTACCTTTCTCCTTCGTTCATTTTTTAGTAGATCTGACAACCACGTAACAATATTATACATGGCTATCAACACCGACAGGATCTTTCTAACATACGCAAAGCACCATATGTTTTACAAGACCATTATATACACCGACAACCTCCATGCTACGAGTCATGACATGTCAACTATCCTTATATATCACTATATATAAGTGGATTTTCCACCATACATGCATTCAACTTGACCAAAGTCAACATCCTGACACCTTCGGGCTTCACTTTTTAGTCTTCGGCCCCTGAAAATTGCAAACTTTGATGTGCACATAGTTAATGTCCATTTGATATTAAAGAATAAAAATTACAAAAATAATGAGTTATAGCCCATGGAAATCATGAACTTCGAACTACATGTATTCAATTGTTAGTAGGTCGAAATGAACAAACATTGACTAAAATCAAGGGTTATGGATTATAGCCTATGAAAATTGTAATTTTTTTATTTACATGCATGCATTTTCATTTGGTGGAAGCAAGCACAATTGTAAAAATCAAGGTGCCCATTACGCATGTACAAAATGTGTTAGGCTAATATTGGAAGGAGCAATGCATAATTGTATCATTGATAGTGCAGATTGGATATGTTCAGTTACGGTAGATACAAGAACATATTGTTATTGATTGTAATTATCCTTCCATAATTATGGTAGATACGAGAATACATTTGGTTTTTCTATTCTTTCTGCCTAATAATGTCGGTTTTTAAATGGCTAGGTGCTAAAATTTTTCTATAAATTTCCAATAAGGTTGTGACATTTCTAGTCTAAAAACTAAATTCTTAGTAGGAGGGGTAGAAGAAAAACTCAATCTGAGAGAATTCTGAGGGATAATTATGCAAATATGGGACATTTGAGGATTATATATGCAAAGATCCCTCAGTACAAATAAGGCGCTGATCCTTGATCAATATAAGAAAATTGAGAGGTTTCCCCTCTTCCTTACCATCTATGTTTCCCCATCATAAATCAACAATAGGAAGTATATGAAAGTACCCTAGAGGGGGGTAGGGGTATTGTTAATCTTATTAAATATTAATACCGATTAAAACTTATTAACAAATTATTCTTGTAAGATAGATATACAATATGACATGAGCAAGAATAAGCAATATAAACTAAGTGCAATATCCTAACAATGAGATATACAGTGAGTTATATGCAAGGATAAGCAAAAACAAATGTGATAGGGCAATGTAAACAATGAGCAATGGCGAAAAAAATAGACTAAGCAATAGACACACAAGATTCGCCAATGCAAACTCTAACACACAAAGATGATCACGGAGTTCGGACCTTCCGTCCTACGTCTCCGCTCCCCGCTCCCGGGGAGAAATTCACTATCATAACCGGGTTTTCTACGCTCACTCGAACAACGTTTACACCTCACAATTCGGTTTTCTAGTTCACCGAAAACTTTACAACACACACAATTGCACTCACACTCTACACCCTCTAAGTGTTGGTTTCTAGCCCGTGTTTTCCTCAACTGCTCAGAATTACGACCTACCTCTAGGCATTACTACTGACGCCACTCCTCTTGGTACTGACGCCACTCCTCTTGGGACAACCCCGTCTCTCACCACACAGTACTCCTCTCGGTGTACAAGTGTGATACAATGTGTAACTCACAATTAAGCACAATACAATAAAATGTTCTCTACAATAGGTGAGAACTCAATGTAAGCTCAATCTCACAAATCATAATTCCACAACCCAATATATGATGTATGAAATGCTACAAGCTCAAATAGGGTGTGTGTGATAAATGAGTATAAACAAAATCTAACTCAATTAACAAACTAGCAATGATTATATATAAAAATTAAAAACGAATTGCTAGAGAATAGAGTTAGGAAAACTTCTCTATAAGCACAAAATGAGAGGATAAGGAAGATTGAGGATGAATTCCTCAATTGACAACGTAAGCTTCCTCCTTTGTAAACAAAAACCCCAAACTTAAAACAAATTAAACAAACTTTTGATCTCTTTTAAAACTTGTTTAAAACTCTCTATAGTTATTGGAAATAGTTAATGCAAAGAGGTATTTATAGGCTTGAAGAAACCATCTCAAGAAACCAACAAAATCTCATAAAAATATTAAAATAATCAAATCGGGAAACTAGTCGTTATTGTGCAAACGACTATATATAACTCGACTTAACAGGTGACACAAGTCGACTTGACAGAAGGAAAAACACATGCAAAATGATAGTTTATAAGTCGACTTACCTTTAAAACAAGTCGACTTAACAGAGAAAAAATGCACTTTCTAGAGCATTTCATAAGTCGACTTATCAACCCTGATAAGTCGACTTATGAACATGCACAGACATTGTGCATGTCCAAAATCTGACTTTTCAAGTGCATTTAAAAATAGCAAATAAATTTTAAAAAATATAAAAATTTGGGAAAAGTTAATAAACATGAATATGAATATGTTGGAAAAGGAATTTTTCAATTTTCTCTTATCATTTATGAAAACTCAGAAATATTCAAAAGTGCTAAAATACATGTTTTTCAAATATATTGTTTTGCCATTTTAGCTCAAATCAAGTTCTGAAAACTTGTGTAATCATTTTATGGACATAATAAAATATGTTAGCATGATTTGTATAGTCCAAAACATATTTGAATGTATTTTGCATAAAAACACCTATTTTTATGAAAATTCACAAATGTAATGTGTGTGTATATTTGAGCTTATAGAATTAACACACATTATATAAACCCTAAACTAAATTTACCCAAGCTTGATAGGTCTTCATTTGTAGCTTGTCCTGGTAAACATGGACGAAGCTTGAACTTGGATCTTAACTAGTATGCATGAGCTTCATTCCACTATATCCTTCCATTCTCCAATGGATATGATCGTGAAAGCTCTAGTCCATCCATCCTCCAACTATATTGTTTGTCTAGAATACCTAATAAAAAAAATATAAACACTAGACAAATAATATTAGGAATTATTTATAATCACCAAAACAAGATTAGAAGATGTAGGCTTATAAAATAAGACCTAACAATCTCTCCCTTTTTGATGATGACAAACAATCTACACAAAGAGTATATAAGTTATGCAATAAAATATAATACTCTTAAAATATACTCACAATCCACTTGTTTCTCCCCATTTGGCAACATCAAAAATGGGAAAACACAAAAATAAGAGAGCGAAAGCTCCCCCTATCATAAAGCATAGGTGAGTATAAACAAAAAAAATATGGGGAAGGCTTCCTCTATCAAAAAACCATATAGAAAATATGCAATTATGAACATGACAAACAAATGTGAATAAGCATGGATATATAATATCCTAAACACAACTCATATTAAAGAAGACCAAGTGAACACATATGCATGTATCATGAAGATAAGATGCCACAAGAGTCTAAAACATAAAACCTAAAAGATTTAAAAAAAAGATTAAAAGAAAATCAAACATTAAATGATTTAAAAAAAATTCAAATTATCCATCATAAAACATGATTGATTGAGAACACAAATAGACATATAAACGGTGTCCCCATATCCAATCATAAAACATTATTTGGATATAAACAAAAGTAGATCATGAAATCAAATAAAGTGAAATTATGAACCTCATGAAGGTTCAAATAAAAGCCTTAAATGATACTAAAAAAATTTTAAAGTGTATATATTGTATCATTTTCGACAAAAGCAAGAGAGGTGAGCATAACAAGCTCTTGAAACAATTCGACAAAAGCAAGAGAGGTGAGCATAACAAGCTCTTGAAACAAGTTTCAACCCAAGTAAAGCTTTTAGCATCCGGTAAACCTCCCGGGTGAGCATAACAAGCTCTTGAAACAAGTTTCAACCCAAGTAAAGCTTTTAGCATCCGGTAAACCTCCCGGGGGTTTCTCAAACATATAACCTCTCATATGCAAATACAAAACAAAAGTATATATCTAAAAAGTGTTTGATCAATAGAAGAAATCATTTTTACAAAAACTTGATCAAACCACATAAGGAATACATTATAAACCACAACTAGATGATCCGGAAGCTCAAACACATAAATATCATCATAAGAGTGTTTTATAATGACCCCATAAACACAAACACATTGTTCAAACCAAACAAATTGAAAATAAGGTATACTAACAAAAATAACGTTTTAGCATAGAAAAATCATCTTGATAAAAATTATATCAATTCATAAAGGATGAAAACATAACAATCTATGAAAGAGAATCATGAAAAAAAATATGAATGATAACTTTTCAAATCAAGTACCAAGAATGAAATTGTTTTCAATTTTGTTTATAAAACTTTAGAAGAAAAAAAATGTCTTTAAGAACATGAAAAACTAAAACAAAAGAAAGCTAAAAATTTGTTCTTAAAGAATTAAACTTATTTTGGTACCCAATTACTCTTGGTACCAGAGAGTCTAGGGACATGACCCCTATCATTAAAGCTTAAAGCCCTAGGGTTATGATCTCTTTTGGGCACATTTTGTGCACGGATCCGATCATAGCAATAATTATGCAAATGACCCATTCGATTGCAATAAGCGCAATGAAGAGGATGCATTTGTTTATGTTGACCATGTGGATGTGCACGTGGAACATTTGCAAACAAAGATTTTTCTTTAAAATTATTTTGCAAATGGGAAATCTTCT